GTGTGTGTGTGTGTGTGTGTGTGTGTGTGTGTGTGTGTGTGTGTGCGTGACGTGTGCGTGTGCGTGTGCGAGTGTGTAACCCTCTCCTCCCTCTTCTACCACGGATCTTGACCAATCACGTGCGGCTTTAACCGAAAGGGGGAAAAAACAGGAGGAAAAAAAAAGTCGGCTCCCATTAAAGCGGCTCCCTCTTAGGAGCCGGCTCATGTCGTTCACTTCAAAGAGTCGGCTCTAAGAGCCGGCTCGTTCGCGAACGACACATCACTATCAGTCAGGTTTTGGTACTCAGCGCATACACAAGACATTATAAGGCGTGCTGTCCACTTTGGAGAAAATTTTAGACTTTTAATGGCGCCTTATAGTTGTGAAAATACGGTATATATATGTATGTATATATAATTTTTTATTTTTTCCGGAATTTTCAGGAAAGTCCACTTTCATCTCTGATAGTGATATGAAAACAAAAACAATCTGTTGTCCTTCACATCAACTTACTTCAGGTGGTGGGTCTGCCACGGTGGAACCAGGACTGGCTGAGGCTGTCGGTTGACCTGGCACAGGATCGCCGCGCTTGGGCCGCCATGATCAGGGATGCCGTGTGTGCCAAGGAAGAAGACTCAACCCGTCCAGGGTGAAGGCCATTGCAAACAGCAACATCAACTTACTTGCCTCATGGTCCAGAAAAACATATGTACTGGTACTGAAAACACCTCCTGCAACTATATTGCATCAAGCCATGATCAAGCCATGATGCAATATAGTTGCTGGGGCTGTTTTCAGTACCAGTCCAAAAGGAATCAGAACACATTTTCATAAGAACAACAAAAAAAAGTGTTGACTTTGCTATTTCTTGTCAACCACTTCCACACAATAGCATTGCATCAAACAAAATACTGAATTAACATCAATTTATGGTTTTATGACTGACCAAAATACTTTTGGATCAAACCAGCGAACAACAAATATTTAAGTCACTATTTCTTCACGGTACCTTCCCATGTACAGTGTGTAACGCTAACACCCAAAGAAGGTGCTAAAACAATTCAACGGAGACCTGCTTTTCAGGTTTCTCAAATGCTTTCTGTTTCTGTTACAGTAGTACAAAGTCAGCTTCAAAATGCTGGAGGCTGACATGCAATGTGAAGTGTGTCTTCCGCCCACATTTCGTCATGCTTGTGTAACTTCCTCATGTCCGCAATGAAACTCTGTTTTATGGCCAGATGTGTCCTTGAAGCAAATCAACTGATCAGTTAACCTTGCTAAATTGTTGCCCAGGGCATAGGAATGCGCCGGTTGATACCAGTCAGAACTAGTCTAAAGAGAAATTTATTGCCTTGTGTAAAGTCTCAATGCTGCACAACAGTTTCGGGACCTCCCTTCTGATAATATAAATGTGTTGTGTGTCTTTCGTGTCTTTGCAGTTGTGATCTGCTACAGCCATTGTCTCTAACTTATTTAAATAAAAGCTTCGAAGAAACTGTTCATGGTCTCCAGCCTGTATTCGGATAACCAACATTCTCACGACCCAAAATTAAACACGCAGAGGAAAAAAAGGCCACTCCCCAGCCCCCGCCCCTCCTCCAACAAAGGTAAGTGAAATTTGGAGATGTGGATGATGAGAAAGAAATCTTGACCAAGTACTTATATCGTAGTTGTGCGTGCGTGCGTGTGTGTGTGTGTGTGTGTGTGTGTGTGTGTGTGTGTGTGTGTGT